CCTGTCACGGTCTGATAACCTGACACTCCAGCCGCGGAAGCAAACTCCGCCCAGGACGTAGCCGCGGGATAAAAGGGGGACATTCGCCATACCTCGGCAGAAGGAGCTCAGCTTGCATCCACTCACCTTGTAGCGAATAAAGCCAAAAGCCAAGGCCACTTTCATTATCCGCCTTAAGTCCATCTCTAGTGTCGCTTACATCTGATGGCAGCGGTGACCACGAGCCTCACAACGCCGATAGTCCGCCGACCGCTCTGCAGCGCTACGCTACCTGCCGTCTGTCGCCGATCACGCTTCTGTTTCGGGGTAAGTCCACTCTTGTGTATGGCCAGTTTCTTACCCCCCCGAACACCTACCTATAAGTTACCTGGTTCCCTTAAGACCTTCGTCCTTTTCACATTTTCTCTGTAATCAAAATCTCCGACTGATAATTCTTTGTTGCCTTGAACCTTACACTCAGATCTCCGCTGTTATCTGCATATGTCCAATCACACAGCACGACCTTTCACACGCAGCCGAGCACAGTCTATCTTGGAAATAGATGCAGCTATAGTTGGTGTAGAAAAGACATTTTCTACAAACAAAGAAGTAAACGACACCGCACATTTCACCAGCGATTCTCCTTTACATAACGTTACACACCCTCCTCCCCCCCCTTCCCCTACATCCCCCCCCTTCCCCTACATCCCCTCGTCCCCGTGCACTCTCCACAATGTCTTCAGACCCCCCCACAACCACTAACCCAACCTTCCTCCAGCCCTATTCTGTTGTTACCAAGTTTGACGGCAGCTTGAAGCTAGACATAGATTCCCTGATCAAGGAAATTGAGGAATTCATAGTATCAGCGGGGACACCGAGATCAGACAACGGGTTCGATAAGAAATGTTTAAATGCTGTTCATTCCCGTCTTGACCTTACCTCACCAAAGGTTAGGGAAGCGTTTCATGCTTTTGACCAACAACCTAACCCCTCGTGGGAATTGTTTAAGCAAGAATTTGGCATTCTATTCAGACCCTCTCAGGTTGATCATGTACTTCAGCTCGCCAGGATTTTTAGCTTACGGCCGCAGTCATTTTCTTACGCTGACCTCCGCGCTCATTGTAATCGCGTCAGACTTGCAGTAAATAAGTGGATTTCGGCCATCCCAGATAACTCCCTTTCAAACATCAAAGGAGCATTTCGTGATACCGCATCCCACAATGAATATATGCTTTACTTCACTTCGGCAGTATTTGCATCATCACTCACCCCATTGTGCCAGGAGAAAGTTTGGCGTGAAATCGGAAAGATCGATAATGTTGTTGAACTGCCGGACATTTTTTCTAAGGCAGTTAAAGAAGTTGCTGGCAATGATGTGCAGGTAACCAATGCTTTATCTGCGAAACCAACCTCCCCTCCCCAACCCCAACCCTCCACTGAACTCGTTCGTGTGCCAACACGCCAAACCATTCCGCCCCTAATGTCCTTACCTGCCCGCCCTAACCCCCGCTCTAGTTATTACCCCCGCATGCCAGGACGTTATACCCCGAACTCACCCTATCAGAACACCCCAATCCCGCGTCCTCTCTTTAGACCCCCTGCTGTTACCAATTGGATCCCTGAAAAGTCGGTCTGCCACAAATGCTTACATCATGGCCATTTTTCTCGCGACTGCCGGAACATTCCCGTATGCCCATTCCACAACATTTATGGACACCCATGGTATCAATGCAAAGTCTATACAGAGCAGAGTGCTATAACACAGGATTTATTAACAAAAGCTAGACGTGGAAGTAGCCCCCACAAAACACAAAAGTCGTGCTATTTTTTAGAGGAACTTCTCGAAGACCTCCAAGATACTCCCCCAGCAGACCCTTCCCCAGATGCGGAAATCTTGCAAAGCCCATGGGACTCGGTACTCAATTAATAGCCTCTGCTACTGCTAGCCATTGCAATAGCCCCCCTCTGCTTCCTGCACGCCTCAATGGTAAACCAGCAATGTTCTTCTTAGATAGTGGTTCGTCTGTCAGTCTGGTGTCCGCTTCAACTTTGTCAAGGTTTGGGTTAGATCTCAAGATCCAACCTCCTCGCTGGTCTGTACGGGGTGCTTCTGGTAACAGTCTGAGGGTAATAGGAGAAACCAGGCTGAACATTAAGTTGGATGGGATTTTGTTTCTCCATCCATTTATTGTTACTGAGTCCCATACTGTCCCTGGTGATCTCCTCCTGGGCCATGAATTCCTCTGGCGTACAGGTATTGCTCATGACCCTAGGAATAACAGAATTAAGTTTAATGGTAAGTTTTTCTCCCTCGTTAAGCCCTCCTCCATGTGGACTCATCGCAACAGTTATGATGCACTCATGCCCCCCCGTAAGTACCACAACAAAGACTCAATTTCTGGCCATATAACTGGGAAAGAGATTCCCCTCAACAAACAAACAAATAACCCCAAACCCCCTGGCCTCCCCAAGCATCGTCCCAGACTCAGGTGCCAGAGAAGTCCTGCTTCTGTGCCAAGTAAGCCTCCCACCTCTCAGGCCTTGGACCAAGATACTCCCGCTGCCCCTCCCCATAATATTCCCCCTTGTCCTACCCCAGCTACTGCTACACATTTTGGACCCTTTTCATGGACTATGGGCGACAGTGCATTACACTTTCGTGTAAAGGAAATTACCACCATTCCTCCATTCTCCGACATGCCTGTCAACGTTGTAACACATGTAAACGAGGGTGCATGCCTGGTCTTGCCAGAAGGATCTCGTGTTAAGGGAATTGCCATCTTGCCAGCACTTTATTCCATATCTAAAGGGGAGTCATTCCTCCACCTGATTAACTTAACCCCTACCCCCATCCGACTTCACAATAACACCCGGGTAGTTGATTATGAACTAGCTAAAGGTGAAGTCATGGAACTACCACCGCCTGCCTTCACTGCAACCACTCAAACTCAGCCCACTCTGGGCGAGCCACCTCCCTCCTCTCATGAAACACTCTCGACTATTCCCTCTCCAGATTTTGATGAGGGTTATGAGATCTTATCTCGCCTCTTCCGGGAATATCCCTCCCTATTGCCTTCTGAGTCTCGACCCCTTGGCAAGACTGATATCCTTCAACATAAGATTAACCTGGTTCCCAATGCTCAGCCTGTCTATATTCCA